ACTCAACCTCTAAGTCTGACTATATATAAACGTTTAAAAAACTCTCAGGTATGACTTAATAAAGAGTGCAGAAAAAGAAGTTTTGATCCTTTTACTCGCAAGTCCTTTCAGCTCAGACGAGCCTGATCAGACGGCCGTTTTCGCGGGCTTGACCAGAAAAGCGATCGTTCGGTCATGAACCGTGATAATGACTTCGGCGTCGTCGAGGATACTTTCCGAGGAAGAATCTTGCATAAATACAATATCCTGGTAACCCCGTGCTGATTCACGTCATTCAGCGGCGGAGACAAGTTGAGTGTAACAGAATGTTGCCAAAATGAAAAGGGATTTATGTGTACAAGGAAAAGCACATGCCAGGGGATATAAGGGGAGCTTGTTTATGAACCTTTAAAATGAAACGAAAAAAATATATATAAAAAACACTATTTTCTTCTTCCACAAAATACACAATTCGGCGTTTATCACAAAGAAAATATGTAAAACTGCAAGGCAATACTGAAGGATGTTGAAGAGTAGCTGAGTTTCAGATCTTCATGAGCGTGGTGTTCTCTAAGTATCCAAGAGATCAGTCAAGTAAGACGGCGCGTCCTGATGGAAATAGCCCGCAAGGTGGGGGTGTTTCAGTTTCGAACAATGACTTGCAACATAAACACAACCGAGTGTCGAGAGAAGCTTTTTGAAAACCGTACAAAAACAAGATCACCAAAGACCGTCAAACTTCGTATGAACTTGAATGACAAACCTTGAATACCAGAAATGTCTCCAGATCAAGATATAACTCAATAAAACGTCTGTAGTTTTATCATAAAAAATCGAATCGGTGGTGTTTGAGTGTCTGCATCAATCACAGTGGGCGGAGCTTATTTAGGGTTGCGCTATAAATAGCAAAGCATATGGTCATGTGAACATGTGACACATGCGATGCATTTCTGGTCAGATTGTGTTGTTGTTTAGTATATATTTACGGCAGTACAGCAGCAGAACAACAGTTTCGGTTAATTAACAGTAACGATACATAAATACGAAATTGACGTTCGTTACACAAGTATTAGCGACAAGATTCTTTCAGTTCAATCAGAAAGACATATATTTGGATAGTTTATATGTTTAGTTTTGGTCACTTGCATTCAACAGTTATACCACACAATAATCAGATAATATTTTCAAAATTTTTGTTATTGCACAGATTTTTTAATCTAGTGTTTAGGAAGAAGCCTAATTTGAAGCATCAGAAGTTGAGCCAATATTTCTTGGCTTGACAATAACATACTGAACCAAATTAAAAACTTCACAATCCTAAAATTTTAACATTTTGACCAGTTATCATTGTGGGCCCTTATTGTGTATTTAAACAGTAATGGCCACGTATTGTCTTCAGATAACAGCCGTTTTTGTGCAGGTGAATCGATCAAAATCATGTGCACAGCACTATAGTGGCAAGAGTGGTTTTTCACGTGCAACTGGTCACGTGGCCATAATACCCCACGTGTTTTCAGCCATACTTGTTAGCAGTCATTAACAAAAAAAGAAAAACACAAGAAAACAAAAGTCTTTGCGGCCATTTGTCATGCCACGCCTTTCAAATGTGCAACGTGAACGTGCCATCGGCATGTTGCAGACGGGAACGACCGTAGCTGAAGTCGCAAGGACGATGGGTTGTAGTGGACGGACTGTTAATGATTTACAGACGCGTCTTCAAGCAAACGAGTGCCACCGTTGATCGCCCTCGGCCAGGTCGACCACGTGTGACGTCACATGCAGAGGATCGTCAGATTGTCTTACGTCACCTCCGTAACCGATTTTTGACGGCTACATCAACCAGAAATGAACTGTTTAGGGGTAGACTGAGTGCGCAACTTTTCGAAACCGTCTGAGAACTGCTCACCTTCAAGCACGACGGTCATACTGCGGGCCAATTCTGACTCAATTACAGACATCAACGTCAATTGTGGGCGCAGCGACACTTACGATGGATTCAGAGGAATTGGAATCAAGTCGTCTTCAGTGATGAATCCCGATTTAATCTTCGATTTGCTGATGGTAGGGCGAGGGTGTGGAGGCGCCGTCATGAACGTTACGCCCAGTGTTGTGTACAGGAAGTTGACAGATTTCGAGGCGGAAGTGTCATGGTGTGGGGTGCTTTCTGTGGCAATGCACGTTCCAGGCTTCTTGTCATCCGTGGCAACCTCAATGCTGCTGCTTACCGCGACCAGGTACTGGCACCAGAACTTCTGCCTTTTATGGCAGCACATGGACCCGGTTTGATCTTCCAACACGACAATGACAGACCCCACACAGCAATTTTGACTAGGAATTTCCTTCAGAATACGGAAATCAACGTCATGGACTGGCCGTCAAGGTCTCCCGACCTCAATCCCATCGAACACGACTTGGATGTTCTTGGCAGAAGTCTGCACACTCTCCAGAACCAACCACAGAATTTGCAAGAACTTGGCACTATTTTGCAGCAACAATGGCGTCGTCTTCCCAATCATGTGTTCACAAGCATCACAAGGTCCATGCGGAGGCGCCGTGTGGCAGTTGTCAACGCACATGGTGGCCATACACGCTACTGAACTTGTGTGCCATCAGATTCTCGTGTTTGGGACTTATGATTTAAACTGTTGATGTTATTACCGAATACCGCAGGTGCTTGGAACAAATTATGGTTACCACCGTTAATTAAAATCCTTCTTTGGACATTAATTATTAAAAATTACCTTCTCTGATACATTTGTCCGTTGTATATCATATATGGGATTACTTTTAAAAATGTGAAGTTTTTAATTTGACTCAGAATATATGAATGTTTCACGTATATCAGCCTAACAATGCACATAACTGATAAATAAGTAACGAAATATACTGGATGTTTTGACCTACATTAGGCCTATCTAGATAATATTGTACTCACGATAAACGAAAACTCATATACACATATTCCAAGACAATTTTTATTATGGATTTCTTCTTTCACATAACACACACACTGAACTGAGTTTGATCATTAGATCCACATGTGTCCCATGTATTTTGTGTTCGGTGGATTTGAATACACTTCGCGCACAAGTTTTAAAACACACTCTGACATCACTTCCCGTTTGTCCACACCAATCCTTCATCTGCTGCTACGTTTAATATCCGTTTCTTCAAGTCCAAGTAATTAGGATCTCTCCAAACACTTTGTCTATTCAGCTCAGTCCAGAAATATTTGTAGCGCTGTTTTCAAATCGACGAATTTCTGCAACTTCGCAGGGCACCATTCCCAACCACGATTGCCTCGAATGGTTGACAAAAGCAGTGTGAACAGACGTTTTCGTCTTCATCTGGTCTCAAAATGAAATCTGGCCGTGACAGTGATCCACTAATCCCTAGAATAGGCAATGAATTTGTCAAAGTTTCTGTTGCACTTGCAGGACGGAAAGAGGGGCGCCCTCTTGTATATTCGAGTTGACAGCCGGATTGATGTCATCTTGAATTGGAAATTTATCCACAATAAATTCATCTGTGTAAAAATTGAAATGACCAAGGCCCCCCTGATCATCTCGAACAACGTTTCAGACATATTAAGCGTCACATGAAAATGTTTTGTCGGAATAGGGGCAAAAAAAAAGTTTAGAAAGTAGAAATACACAGTGCAATAAAATAAAAACCATGCATATCTTCTAAATGCCATTCAAAGACAAGAAAATACATTATCGTGTATAATTATCATCGGAAATATTGACTATATTCAAACCTAGGCAAAGAACCAGGTCAACTTTATCTTTCGTCAGCTGTTTAGTAAACATTCGTTTCCGAAGCACAGCGGCTCTCGTCATACATAATTTAATCTATAGACTAGTTCCAAGTGTTTTAAATTGTTTGTAAAATATGCCTTAAAATAACTTACACAATTACTGAAAGACATTTGTTTTTGTTAAATTTTATATTTGATTTCGTCCGCCCGTTCTCATGTTAGCTGAGGTCGGAGATGAGAAACACACATATACAAATATGGATGACCTTATGCAAATGATACTTGACATGTCACAAAAGGAATCAACAGGGAATAAAAATCTGTGTCACGGGGACGCACAGAATGACTTCGGCACGAGGAGCTTTCGGACAAGTATTAGCGACAAGATTCTTTCAGTTCAATCAGAAAGACATATATTTGGATAGTTTATATGTTTAGTTTTGGTCACTTGCATTCAACAGTTATACCACACAATAATCAGATTGCTACTGGGCAATGAAATCATGTGACGGAAACTGCTTATATACCGACGGTACGACGCAGGATTACGTTTGGTGCCGTGACACATATTATGGTGAATGTTTCATTTGCACTGCTCTTATTCATCACTGCAAACGTGTTTCGTTCTCGTCCAGAGAATACAAACGCAGGACTAATTTGTTCGTGTTGGACTTGAACGAAAACGCAAATCGTGGACATTCCACAGTAACATTTTATGAAGATGTGAAGACGACGTGGCAGGTAGGTTTTGAAACCAAAGACGCGTTTGTTGAAAAGTCTGAGAATCGTTTGAGGGATATTTATTACCCTTAAAACTAACGCCCTTGTCAAACGGCCCACGTGGATGTGTGTTTAGATGTCGTCACCCGTTTACGCATTAACAAATGAAATTTGTGTTATCATGACGTCACATTGACTTGTCAGATCACTCGTATAAGCTCCGCCCACAAGAGTTGCGGTCGTTCCTACAGCAAATGCCCCTTTAAAGTTACTGTCTTGATCATAACTTAATTTTTGCCTTGAAAAATTGAAAATCAACGTGCTAGTATTTATTCAGCGAACATTTCACTTTGGGTACGTATTTCGCAGGGTCCCCCAACATCTGAACTTGGTATAAAAGTATTTAATTATTGGTAATAATAGGTACTGGTTGAATTGAAAACCTATGTTTTGATAAAACCAAACTGATAGTTTGTTAAAATACAGGTTAAAGAACGAGCTTCTTCAATTGTGTTACAATACATTTTATTTAATTTTCCAGATCCAGTCCTATCATCATTTTTTCCTGGAGAGATTGAAGAGCAGTTTTGCGGCCTGCTCATAAGAGGGAAGAATCCTAAGTAAGTTAGAATCAATAAACCTACATTTTTATTAATAACATCATAAAAATACCTTTTAGAAGTCCACTTATAAAAGTCCTTGGGGTACCTTGTCCACTTACTCCTACCTACATAATATAAGCTATTTTTGCAGCTTAAAGGCAAATTCACCATCAACAAACTTTCATTACACCAACAGTTAGTACCCAATAAAGCTAAATGGCCAAACAGGAGACATACCTACAAAAAGCACTCACAAGTGTCAAATCATACCGCACCCAGCAGAAAAGCCTGAATAAAGAAATTGTCTCTTACTTATAAGATTTACTAATTCAGCCAAAATTCATGCTGGAAAAATAAATTAAAACTAATCACACTTTTTATGATCTCTGATTACATGAATACTGTACAATTACTAAGAAGGAACACTTCACGAACAGACAGAACCTATACATGTTTGTGATTTATTCGTCCGCAGTTTAATACATCGCTTAAAAGAGCGCTGTATGTACAAACACACATTTAATATTATATTTAAAAACGTAATAAGGTTTAGAAAACTATGCCTTTATATAAATATCTGGATCATCATTTAGAAAATTATTTCGCTATTTCAGCGCAAAGAATGCACATTTTTTTGCAAACGCTTTAACAATGCCACTCCTGTTACAGAAAAGCATGTGTCGACAGGCATTATATACGGGAAATAATGTTTAAAAATCGCACGTAGGAGGGGTCACGACCTGCATAAGATTAATGCCAGTGGTGCCCTCAGCTGTGATGTAGCTATTTTTAGGGTTACGTCTTGAATGTCGGACGCATCGCGGCCCTCGGCTGCCATTTCCTTTGGTCACAACGGTAAACATCCGGGCTACAGCGGGTCTGAGAGAGAGAGAGAGAGAGAGAGAGAGAGAGAGAGAGTGTGTGTTTACTCATTTCACACGCATACACAAATGGAATTCCGCTATCCCTCCACGTGCTCACAACTAGCAGCCATACAACGACTAACTTATTATTTCACGTTGAAAAAACTGGTGAAACTTCTGAAGCAAAACCTGGTTCTTCATGGTGTTAGCCACATAAAAGCAAGGATGGACAATACTCAATATTTGGACGAGTAGCGTTGGCATTCTTATGGAATACTGTAAGGGACATTCTCGCGATCTCGCATTCCCGCGATCTCGACTTATTGAAACGAGCTAAATATGCCCAAAACACGAGATCGCGAGAACGCGAGATTTGGCCAATATCTCGCGTTCTCGTGTTTTTGGTACATAGCACGTTTTGTCAAAAGTCGACAACGCGACAACATTTGGACATGATGCAAAATCTCGCAATCTCGACTTGTCAAATAAGACCACAATAACACGAAATCGCGAGAATGCGACATTTCATTTTCTCGCGATCTCGCGTTTTAGACGCTGTCCGTGCGCATGCGTAATATCATAGGTCAAGACGCATTCGCAAGTTAGTAGTCCTTTGGTCATGCTTCTTTCATTCTCTTCATTCTCAAAGTAGCATTTATCAAAATTATGACTTTAGCTTGAAAATGCTATGTAATTTACATACACAAAGTCTGAGTCATCTCCCGTTGTGACAGTTTCCTATGTACTTTATATTAAAACCCTCAACATGCTCAATATAATTTAACAAAAGAAATTGTGTACATGAATGTCCAATGATAGTGGAAACATTAATGTGTCCGAAAGCTGGTAACAAAACTATCACCGTCAGTGAGTGAGTGAGTAATATTGCTAAAAGCCGCATCAGCAGTATTGCAGATATTCGCGGCTACACTGTCAGTTACAGAAATAATCACAAGCCAGTGAGTTTCTCAATGAGGCAATTTTATACACGGCTAGAATATTCATTAAAATAAAATTCTCACAGACGAATTTATAGCATTCGGATAAAATGATATTGTCCGATGCTTTTTTATACGACACCATATTCGCTACTTTAATTAATAGATTTTCATTTGCTCCCGCCTTACAACAAAACATCCTGCCTTACATTATTCTAATCACCTCAAATTCCTAGAAATAGAAGTATCGTTAATATGAGTGTTCCTACTTTCTGTACCTGATGAAATACTCCGTACACGTAGCCCTCATGAACACACATGATGCATGTGAATCGCACCCCTCGACAGCAGTTGTACACATACGCCTTAAGTAGGTCGATAAGAACAAAATAAAACGTTAAAAATAAAATGCCTCCCGTCTCCCATGTTTTTTAAAAAATCAGTCAAACTGTAACTATTAATTTATTGCGGCCTTAACATCCAAATGAAAGGCATGCTTATACTGGAAAAGTACCCCACAAATATCTAGCCTGAGGGACCGGCATGGCTCTGAATAAGTGAGTGAGTTTGGCTTAACACCGTGTTGAACAGTATTTATATTTCAGTTATATTCCGGCTTGTCAGTTTAAAGGGGCACTAATATTCTTGCCAGCTTGGGGTCACTATCTGCCGTGAGTCGATTTGATCGCTGACGCAACTGAGCGTGACAAGAGACTGGGCTACCGTCTTCAAGAACACTGATTGGTTACCTGTAATCTATGAATCTCAGACAAAGGGCGCATGTTAATTATTTTTTTCAGCCTAAACAAACGGACAAAAAGAACGATGGAAGCTCATCGGATGTCGTTATTTGGAAATACCCCAGATGGTCATAGTTTAATAGTTAAAAAATTGTATCCAAGCAGTGGATGCATTTTCGGATTTTGGATTGCGCGGATAATACTATTGCTATCTCTTGTTGTCATAAACGTTTTCTGGCATTACCCTACACCTGTGTCTTTGTTGTCATTATCTTGAAGCTCAGTGAATAAACTTATTACAGGTATAGTTAGTGGAAGCACCACTCAGCTTGCCTGACAAAGGTTCCCATTTGGCATGTCTTGTGGGGTAATTATTTCATCTGAATCCATGTTTGAAGTGAGGTGAAATGTATGTTATGTAATATTCACGTGGCAGCCCAGCAAGAGGACTGATCAGTTCATTTACTTTATTGTAAACGGATCATTCCTCGCCATCAAAAGTTCCACAGAAATTACGTTCATTGATTAATCACTGTTATCTTGCACAGTGGCTTTGTCAAAAGTAATTGTTTACATGTGTATGTTTACTAAAGCAGACGGAATACACTCATATCATGGCGTGAAGTGCCGATGAAAAAACAACATACTTGGTTCAAAGGGTCAGCCGATAATACGTTTATTGATTGTTCATTGCTTTATAACTCCATGGATATTTTTAAAGAACCATGGACATCATGAACATAATTGTCACATGTGCTATCTTAGCTGGCCGATGAGACTTGACACCTTTGCGAAACATCTGAAACAAACTTAGTGATCAGTTGAGAAACGAACACGGGTTATAATATCCAGGAACGCTATACATATATTTTTAAAAATTTGATTGTAGCAGAGCCACGCAACGTCGAATAAGTTTATTTGTACAGCTGAAGACGTATGGGACATTGTTCCTATATGTGAATATTCACGGATACATTCCTCGAACTAGGAAGCTCCCTAATTTATACATACAACTTTGGTGGGTCGTAATTATGATATTTGCATTTTGTTTTCATTCATTTGCTGCTGCATTGGATAGAATCATTTTTGTTCCTCTTGTTCCTGTAGGGGTATATGTTATGCTACCCGACCGCACCTCTAGTATTAGAAGCCAAAACTATAGAAACGTACTTTGAATTTCGTTTTCTGTTAATCCTATCATTTTCAGTCACTGGGTGATGAAATTAAAACATAAATTTTTTTTGGAAATTCGTAATAACAATAACATAAATGGACCGATTTTCTGTCAATTTGTAAAATAACTGAATATTAGCCGTTTAAAAAATTGCCTGAAACTTGCCTGACATCGCGAGATCGCGACACTTGACCAATGTCGCAATCTCGCGTTTTCGCGATCTCGTGTTTTTGAAAATAGTTACATATAACTGTATAGACAATTAGCAAAAAAGCACGAGAACGTGAGATCGCGACACTTGACCAATGTCGCAATCTCGCGTTCTCGCGTTTTTGAAAACAGTTACATATAAGTGTATAGGCAATTAACACAAAAACACGAGAACGCGAGATCGCGACACTTGACCAAAGTCGCGATCTCGCATTCTCGTGCTTTTGTGTCCATAAGCCAAAATCACGCACTTGCCCAGCATGTAGATGGCAAGGCCGCAATAAATTAATAGTTAGAGTTTGTTTACTGTCGAAGGGTGCGATTCACATGCATAATGCGTGTTCAGTAGGGCTACGTGTTTGGAGTATTTCATCAAGCAAAGAAAGTAGGCACATACATTATAGCGATATGAATAAGTATGTATAGTTCCAGGAACTTGGCGGCAATAGTATTAGGGTAACACTATTTTTCTACAGAATACCGAGGGCTTCCATTAACTGCCCGACGAAGGAGAGCAGTTGAAAAGACCAAGACCTTCTGCAAATGATAATGCCCTAAAAAAAATAGCGTTAGCGTGATTATAGCTCAAACGGATAGCATTTGTTATCAAATTAAATTATGCAATATCGGTTTTGAAACATTTACTGCAATTAACGAAGAACGAATGTCACTGACCAACTTTTACAAATATGGAAACGACATAGAACAAACTAGACGATGTCACTATTGAACGTCAAATGACGTCAACTAACAACGGGCGTAGTAATGGCCCGTCGTTAACCCTCTGGATGCCGAGTTTTATTTCTGACGCACATTTTCCTAAGATCGGAAAAGTGAAGGTTGTGCGAGAATTGCGCTCACGCGGCACTGGATCTACCTCTGGCTATAAAATTACGCAGAGGTCGAGAATATTAAATTTCCTATTTGATGGTGTAAAGTTAACTGCAAATATTGAACCGGTTTTAAAAAAATACACTTCTAAGTGTTGCCCGAGAATTTTTTCTGCCTTGAAAAACAGTAAATTTCTCCGCTTTTTATCGTACACCGATAAAAGTACTGTGCGACGATTTTTTATATTTACAAGCTTTACGGA